AAGTTTAAAAAATGCTCGAAAAAGCAGTGTTTTTACATTTCATGATTTCGAAAATATAATACATAGAATGAATCCAAAAGATGCATATGAAAGCTGAATGTTTGGGGAATCTAGCAAGTATAGATACATTCTTGTGCTCTTATCCATATTGCTGTAATATGCGGTCCTTTTATGAATTGGAGGGGTTTGGGAGGCGCCAAATGATTACATACTTTTGAGGGAGTAACATCAAGTTTGGAAACCACTGCTATACGCAATAAATAAAAATATGTTAATATTTGTGAATTGTATAAGTATTAACCTGTGTCATCAATAGTCTCCTTGAGTTTTAAATAAGTGATTATTAAATATACTTATTTCTTCTTATACGCTAATTTAATGGTCAACCTTTTATTTTCAAATTGCTTTACCGTCGTTTTTAGGTCACATCCGCAGGGGGGATATTATTTATTTTATTTTTGTTGCCGCTTCTGTTTATTAATAATGCGATTCAAATGAATGGCTTTTCTCCAAAGACCTTAGCGAATTGCGAACCGAAAGCAACGAAGAAGTGGTCACAAGAGAAACAAACAAAAAAAAAGAAACTGATTAACATTAAACCCAATTCAATTAATTATATGTATAAGTGAGAAAAGATTTCTCAGAAACGTTCTCTAATCTTTCCCAAATCGCCAGACGGATATTTTCTCTTTGTTTTTCTCTTAATCTTAAATTGAAGAAGAAAAAAAAATATGTATATAAAATTGTTATCAAAATGCATGAAATCACATATCTAATTATTGATATCAATTTGTGTATTTTCTTTGTGAGTGATCCCAATTAATATTTGCTTATTGGAAAATTTTAGTGAAAACAAATAGTTGTAATATTTGAAAAAATAAAATTTGTATCAGGATGTGATTTTCTGCTGTATAATTGTTGATATTGATGTATTTTGTGTTGTATTTTATAACTGTTATTATTTAATGTGTGTGTTTGCTTCGAGTCGCCGTTTGAAATATCGTGCGGTCAGACTTTTCTCTCCGGATTAATCTTAATCGCTATATTATCGTCGAAACGACACAACAAAGAAAACGAAGAAGAATCAAGAAAACATCGGTCGTCTGGAATGTCTACACAGGATGTCGCATTGCGGATTCATTAAGTAAATACAATAGACGTCAAGGAAATGCATCTCTTAAAGTCACAGGTGTCATCAATGATTGATGATCATTCATTGATTGATAATTTTTGATAGTCAATTAAACAATAGATGAAGAAAAGAAATTTATGTGCAAATAATTAGCTCTTTTTTTAAATTAATAAAATTATGAAAGTATGTATATTCTTATATAACAGCCAAATTATTTGCAAATCATCCATAAAACTTAAAACAAAAATGATCTAAATGTGATTTGCATTAAAAAATAATCGATTAGTTTTTTTTTAATTAATTTATTGATAAGAAATGCTCGGAAGAAGTAAACTTAATCTCGTGTCTATTTCACAGAATTGAGCAACGTTTTAATTTTGTCATTTCGACACTTTCGACGATGCGTTTTGTAGATCAATGGTTTTGTTAAAACCAATATAATCTGGACACGAGTGGATGTCTGATACAACTGGAATAGTAATGAAATACTTGGTATTCGAAACGTCAACTTTTAACTATGTTCAAGGTATTATTTTCTTTTCTTTTTTAAACCGAAAGTTTTTTGTTTATAAAAATTTTGCAGTCTCTTTCAATTTTTTACAAATCAAACATAAAAATTATACAAACAAAAAAAAAACAACTGTTTGAGTGGAAAACAATGATGGGAATATCGGTATGGAAATCTGGATGTGCAAGGTTCAAGTATTAATTATAGTAGACGGACAACAATGATTCATGGATTATTGGAGGTGTGCAGGTATGAGGTGCCTAAACAACACAGCGATTATCGTTTGACGCGTTTGATGACGGAAACGAGGATTTCCAATCCGGGAATACAGTCATCGACATGTGATCAGGATAATTGTGCCAGCAGCCATTGAGAGCTGGATAGTAAACATAAACTTTGGATACGGCTCGTTCGGTTCATACTGGTTACACGATGTGATAAAAGCCTTTTCGAAAGAAATCTGAACCGAGGATGCGATGCATCAGTATAATCCGTGGCAATTGTGCAATCATCGATAACAATGAAATGAAAAAATAAACAAAACATACAAATTTGGAGAAAGATAGTATTTTGTCTTCTGTATATCTAGAAGACAAAATATAATTTATTATACAAATGTATAATTGTATAATTTGACAAACTACATTTTCAGAATCATTGGTAGTTGAATTTCTTGCGTGTATTGGATACTGTGGTTATTGGAAGTATAATTGGGTCTTAACTGTGGAATCATTGGTAATATAGTAATGGAGTTAACGTATTGGAATCTTTAGAGCTGGGAAGATTCCTGTCGATCTGATGATCAATCAAGTAATGGTATTGAATTAAAAAGAAGATAAAAGAAAGAAGACACGAAAATAACAACGGAATTGAGACGCAGGCTGCGGAAAAACACAATGAACGAGCAGCTTCGAGCTCTAGCCGTGCGCTTCTTACGCAACGCTGATAGCACAATCGGCGTGTGGTGTGATGTAACGGCCGCCGTATATTGGCAGGACCTCGATTTTGCGGCTAGCATATATTTCTTTTTCATTTGTGTTTACTTATAATTTTTTGTTTTACTTATTATCATTATTATAACTGCCTATGACTTTCGACCGGCGACGAAAGGGAACGTAATTAGGCCAAATTCGCGAACGGTCAGCGAAATCAGACGAAAACGAAGAGAAGAGTCTGCACGTGTCGGAGAGAGATAGAAGGAAAGAAATATAAACTGCCGATTAAGAAAAATTCCAAAAGCGATTTTGCGACATAAGTTGCTACGCGATACATAATCTCCTGCTGAACTCAGCGTCGAGGAAAATCGTTTTCCACGTGCTCAATGTTATTTATTGCTCGCTGCAAATCAAGTTGAAGAAGAAGAAACATTAACAATTGCAATGTTTTCTTATGCGTTGCGTTGCAGGAGGAGCGACAAGGATCCGAAGGCCCAAGGTGATGATGGCCGATGAGGATCCTTGATCTTTCGCCGGTTCATCAATTCGCAATTACGGAAAAGCAATTTTTTTTGCACAAACCGCGGCTAATCCGAGCCACTTACATAAGATAAGCGCGCATAAAAAATACTGATGTGAGAAGCGAAGAAAACAGAACCATGCGGAGAAGTTAATTAAAATGTAAATTAAATATACAAAACAATGATAATTGGAATACTTGGATACGAGGTTCTCCTTGATGGTAGCGACACGCCGTGTACCATCAACGTAGTAGGACTTTAAATATCTACATTTAGATGGCTTTCTCAAAATCTTCAAAAACGAATTTCAATACAAGATTTTAACAGATTTTATTTTTTTAATTCTTATGATGATATTCAAAATATAACAAAGCTGCATATTACTACTATCAATGTTTGAAATATCTCATTCATTCATAATCATTTGAAAATGAAAACATCTTCATCATCAAAATCTTTAAAACATTTGATTACAGATTTATATGTATTACATATAAATAATTTAAAACACATATTAATTACATTTCTAACGATAATTAGATAATTTAAATAATTCAGTTTAAAATTTAATAATTAGATAATTTAAAAAAAATCAGTTTAAAACGTATAATAAGTTGCATAACTTGCCGGTTTGAAAATTGTTACTTTCTGCTTTGCTTTGTCGCCACTTGATTATCACCATTCTCTCCAATCCCATCCAGTAACATACACCAGTAGCAGTAATTAACTTTATTAGAGTTACATAAGTATAACTGAGTATAACAACAAAACAGTGGCTGGCGAAATTGAGCTTAGGCGTAAGCTAAGTGAAGTTGGAAAGCGTGGAAGAAGAAGAATTTAATTATTTTGTCTATTGAAATATTCGTATGTAATATATGTGCAATAAGTAATTTCTACATATATGACAAAACATTAAGTGTATTGAAATATTCTCATTCACTATCTGTTTAAACCGGAAATATCTAGTATTATAATAGCATAGAAAATTTATTGATAAGATGATTTCATTATTTAAATGTACTTTTTTTTTACTTTTGATAAATAATATTATAATTAATTTATTTTATATTAATATTATTCGCTTTTTAATAATTCAATATTTTGGAGAAACAAAAAAATTTAAGTTTGTTGTGTTATGTAACTAGATGTACAATTTTGTTATAAACTGTCAATATTTAATGATTTTCTTTATGCAACCAACTATGATTGTATTAAAATAATCTTATTCTCTTATTTCTCCTATAAAGATTTAATATACATTAAATAATAATTAACAAGTTTATCAAATATGTAACTGAAAATCAGCTTTAGTGTATTTAGGATTAACATAATATTATATAAGAATTTACTTGAAATAGATGTCACTAGTTGTATGTTATCTAAATTTTGAAGTACAATTTTATGTTTGTAACAGTAGATGGTGGTATAGAAACTCTGCAGAGAACTTGTTCCTTTAAAATGCTTGTATTCTGAATTGCTTAGAGATGGCAATAGTGTGGAAACGGAAGGATCTGGAAGCATATTGTCGAAGGTGGAATTTATTATAAATAGTATTTAAATGGATGAATATATCAAACATAGTTCATTTTTTGAACCCCGATTGTTGCATAATACATTTGAGATAACGTTGGGACAAGGAACCTATAACGAGCAAATCCATTCGAGAAGTAAGGTGTCCGGTGAGTGCATCATCACCATCATCAGCGCATCAACATCAACTACGCTATGTGCGATCTCTGATGCACGCGCATTCTGCTGACCATCGTGGAGAATAACCAACCTTTAAACCATTGACGAGGTGAGGTTCTAAAAAAAAATGCGAAACTCATTTTCACCTCTGGACGTATCGGCTGTGCACCTAACCTTAAATAAACAATCTCTGAACATATCCATTCTCACACTGCTTGTTGTCTATGTCACATTGCTATAGGTGGGATTGTCCGAGTTTTTGCGTTGCGCAACGCGATTTGAGGAAGTTCGCGTGTGCTTTCCAGGGCGATTTCGTAACACCCTTTAGGTGATCGAACGAAAGGAGGAAATGTGCAATATTGGAACGCGTGTACGCTTTTTAATTATCTCACGCATTGGGTCACGCTGCTGGAAAACTGCTGGTCAGCAAAAGAACATATATATATATGATTGTAGTTGCTAGTGGCTCGGACTCGTACTCCGACTCCCCCAGCAACAGAACATTCAAAATGCAGAACACGACCTTCCAAGTAAATTTGTTTTGAGGAAATCCTGGTTTCCCCAGACCTTTGCATCTTGTTAACACGACCATAAATTCGGCACGTATCAATGTCAAATTATGTTTATTTCGGAAAGATTCCGCAAATTGGTGCGAAAACTGAAGAGGAGGCCTTCTAGTCCACTAATTCGCCAACGTCCTTGCTGACGAGGGAAATCTCCTCCTTGATCTAAATATGTGACACGTCTGTCCAAGAAAAACTTGATTCAGAAATAATTGAGCTATTAAAGATGTATTATGTCCTGTACTTGTACCACCATTATTATTGTAGAAAGAAACGAAATGAACATTAATGTCGAAAGAATAATATCATAAATAGAGCAAATCATCGGCATCCTTTCAAGGTTATACATCGAATGGATTTCGCGCGTGACCTATTGAGGCAATAGTTACAATGTTTCGATTCTCTTTTTAAACCGGTATTTATACTTTACGGATACCGGTATTATGGACATTACCAATGATAAGAAGGTTTATTAATTAACTTTTCCATTGAACACAGATTAATCGTTAATTATTTAAAAATATATGAGTTATTCATTGCATACATTGATGCAGGTAACTTCAATAACAAACGCATTCTTGACGGAATGCATAAGTTGAGAAAAATAGTATTTTCAAAATAGAACATAATGAAATTGCTTCCTGAGAAAGGTATAAATAGATATTATCCGAGTAAACATCTTCTAGATGGTGAATAATAAAAACAATTCCGACGTAAATGCAAATAAATAGTAGTAGAAGTCCTCAAAACTTGTACGTTCATTGATAAACGATATATCATAAACAGAGAGCAGACTTACTGCTGGAACCTTGATTATTCTTTAATTAAATGTAGATGTTATCGACTAGTTATATTTAAAAATTATAAATGTGAAAGTCTAAGTGTATAAAATCACCATACAACTTTATAAACATTGGTGCTAACAACTCTTAGAATCGATCAAATCCAAATAAAAAAAATGCTTTTTCCAGAAATGAGAATGATACTCAAAGGCATATGTTTTTTTTAAAAGATTGTTGTTATTGGATAGTGAATAACAGGCAATTTTCTCTACGCAAGATCAATTAAATAGTTATTGAAGTTTCCAATACAAACCTCTTAAACATTCGTTAATAGTGTTATGTTTTCAAATTACTAAGAAATTCCGTATAAATTGATTGCAATTAATAAAAGTTTCTCATTCAAAGCATAGATTCAATGTTAATAATTATATATTTAAAATTATCGAATGTCGTAATTGTTTTGAATACAAATTAACGAGATTTTATAGTAATGTTTGTAATGACTAGAATTTTATGATTCAAGGCTTTGGTAAAATGTCAACAATTAAAGTATATCTATTGAATACCAATTGTGGTGATTTTATACTAAACTAGTTAATGTTTCTATGATGAAAATAACATTCCAATATGATTTTGAGCTAATTAACGACTATAGAATAATAGTAATAGATTTACAAATTTAGAATATATCAAAGGAACTGACATCACCTCATAGAAATGTTGGAATTGAACAAATACCGGTATTGGTGGAGAAATGCATAGGGGAACACTCCGATTCCGGCATCCATGGAATCGAAATCAAAAGTGAAATCACCTACTAGATTTCGAATTTCGATCACATTATTTCAGCGCCACCGCCGGTTATCCGGTGGCGGCGGAAACCGGGGAATCCCCTCGCGGTTAAAAATTCCAAGAAATCCATCTGGCGCCGCCGAAAAAGCGAAGCGCGCGTACCCTTGCCGCCCCCGTCACCTCTATAATCCTTATAGACTCTTTATTGGTTCAAAAACCTCGGAGATTTCCAATTCAACATATGCCGTTGAATGAAATTAATTGGTCGCGTGAATTCAGGAGAAAGTGCGAGAACCCCAATTAGGCATTCCATCCATCCTTCTTTCTTTCTTTCTTTCGCACCATCCGCTTCCACTACTTTTTCCTTCTTCTTCTTCTTCTAGTTTTTTTTTGTTGTTTCTCTTCTGTCACGCTTCCATGTGTTTTGCTCTCTCTCGCTTGCTCCTCAGCTGTTTCTAAATCCGACGTTATATAACTCCCTGAGGTGGACTTTCTAGGGACGCGGGGGCCTTTCCCGGCCTAGACATTGATCCGATCGCAAGGCTAATTATATAAAGACACATAGAGTGCTCTTGTTTTACCTTCATCATCTTTTCGTTTACTGATGTCGCCGCCACCTCCTCCGATCCGTGGATGGATGATGGCCTCTTCCTACGGCATCGTCCCGCCTCCAACACGATTGTTATTATTGTTTATCGTTTGGTATGTGCCTATTGCACCATGATGAATCGCCGCCTCACACGTTGAAATTCGGGGGCCGACCGGAGCCGAATGCTGCACGGTCTGCGTTAGTAAAGCCCAAGAATGATTAGAGAGAGCGTTTACAAGAAGTAGACAGTCGCAAACTGCCGCGGTCTCGGTCACTCAGTACGGTTCAGACCTCTTTACTCGTGGTTCTAAGTGCGTTTGTGGATGACACTCTTCACCTGCAAAGGCACCACAGTCCTCCTGTTTTTAAGATAATCTAAGGTAAATTACATCGTTTATCAATACACCGCATTTCCTCCAAGAACCAACCAATTCCAAATTCCATAGAAACTTTTAAATCATTCCTTAACTCTCTCAAACAAATAACAACTTCAATACGAAAAACCTTCTTTTACTTACAATTATATCCCTCAACTATTCAAAGTACTCAATTTTAAAAAATATAATTATTTATGAATTTGAAACAAATTTAATAAAGCTACACAGAATATGGTTTATCGAGTTAAAAATAAGTTTCGATAAGTATGCGCCTTGTAAATAAACAAACATTTAATTTACGTATCTCTTCGTTTATTTTTCTCGTGCAAATTTAGATCAGTTGCAGAAAGTAATTTTTGTTTCATTTCAACTTGACATCGAAATATTAAAAAAATGAATTTTATCAATTTATGTTTATTCAATTTTTTGATATATCAATTCAGAATGAAATTATTTGATGATAATTACATCATTGTGAAATGATTTTTGAGAAATTTATTTTTTTCAATTGTAGAAAAGTTTTAAATTACGTTTATATAATTATGAACTTGATGTTTTCAATTGATGAATTTGCTTTGTATTGATGGATAAAGTGAAAACGCAAACTAGGTTTTCATTCCACTTAAAATCAATTGTTTTGTTCTCTTGTGAATATTGCATTAACATCAGCCCATTTTCCTTTGACAAACATTAGCCTTATTTTCACGGTTTCCTCGTTCCGAATTGCGTTACATTTCGGAAATAACGTCTAATTACCAACAACAATCCATTAAGCAATTCATTAATTTCCGGTGCGGATGAAAGAAATCGTACGATTTCTTTCCTTTGGATCGTATACACCCGAAAAAACATACAAAATGTGCGTTCTTTAGAAACCGGAACGTTGCGTAAGCAGTGACTTATGTTGATGTCACTTTGAATTTTCTTAACGAGAAGAAGGAAACAGAGATTGATTTGAAAGTAAAGAAGAAGAAAAAAAAACAACAAATATTAATGAAAACCTATTTATTAAACTTGGGGTTAAATAATGTAAATGATGTCAGGGGAAGGAAACGTGCGGAAAGAAAATAGAAACTTTCACAAACAATGTTGTCCGAAAGTGAATGATGATTGGTTTCCATTTGTTTTCAATATCATTTACATAATTCACCTTTGTATCTTAGCCCAAATTGCACAATTTAATTAGACCACATTTTGTATTGTAATTAAATATGCAATTATTGTGATGGGGAAAAAATAAAATTATAATTATTATTTACTATAAATTACATTTAATGTCTATTAGGTTAAATGCAGAATTGTTTGAATTCATTATACTTATTTATAGTTTTCTTTTTTATTGAATTACAATTGAAAACTGTGCTCGAGTGTTTTTTTGGAAACTTTACGAGCTGTCACAATTAGACCCATTAGGTATCCTTATGACCCGCCACTTTGGGGTCTGCTTAATATCAACACCGGATGGAAAAAAAGGAGAAAGAAGAAATATATATATACGTGACGAATAGAGTGCACACGTTGCTCTGGGTCTCCAATCGCTAAGAAAAGAAAACATGACAGGACCACCTAGTTTTAAAGTATTTGCCTAATTGATTTTTCAATACAAATCTGCATATATATTTAGATTTTTATAAGAAACTAATATTTTTATGCTAACAAATATTTTGGTGGCAACGAACATTTTGTAGATCGAGGTCCTATATATTCGCAATATGGCATTGAATTTAAACAGTTAAATCATTTCGACTAACGATAATCAATATGGAAAACAAACTTCTTATTTTTTATATATATATATATTTGAATATTTACCTCTTCTTATTAATTTGTTTGATTACTTTTCGAATTGTCACAATTATAGTGTCAACCAAATTTCAAATAGGTCAAGGATATCAACACGAATTGCACACTAATTTTTTAACGCTTAATTAGAAGTAACATTTCGATATTTACAAGCACTCAACATCAACCGTCGATTCAAATAATTTTACAGTTTGAATTACAGT